ACAATTTAGTATCTAATAAAAGTAAAATTTTCTAACGTTTTAGGACACACCAAAATATCATAAATTCAAAACTGGGATGATGGGAAAAATCGTAAAATAATAATAAGTGCAAATTTTTCTAAATTTTTTAGGAACTTTCGGATTTGAACAAAAAAATGCATAAGAATTAAAAAATTATAATAAAATCATGTATTTTCTCATTTCTTGTTAAAATTTTCATTTTTGACAATTTGGTAATAAAAGTTAAAATTTTGTAACCTACGGAAACTTTGAATTAAAATTCCACTGAAAATCTATAAAACTCTTCGAATATATTAAAATTCAAAACCGGTATGATCAAAACAGAAAAAAAAAAGTAAAATAAAAATGAGTTCAGATTTTTGCAAAAATTCAGGAATTTTTGCTGATACTTCTAAAAACACACAGAAATTTTTGATTTCGAAAATCGTTAAAAAATACATTTGTTTTTTTATCAAATCTGTACTTTTTAAACATAGAAGTCTCTTGAAATTTTGAATTTATAAAGTTAGAAATGAAATTTTAAAAACCTTAGGCAGCTTTGAACTCAATTGAATTATTATATAATAATAATTTAAAACAAACCCACTTTTATGGAACAGAAAAATTCGTAAAAATAAAATAATTTGAGAGAAAAGTCCATAACAGTTTTTACTTATTTATTCTTAAAGTTTTCATTTTTAACAGTTGAGTAGAAATAAAAGTTCAGAAACTTGAGAAAATTTTTAATTCAGATTTTTTGTATGAGTATATAAAATCCAAAAAATGCAATCCAGATTTAGGAAACAGTTTAAAATTTCAGAAAAATAAAATAACTTCAAATTTTTAGAAATCTTTGCCTAATGTTTCAAACATTTTTAAATTGTTCTGCTAAATTTGACAAAAAATTCCATAACAATTTTAACTTATTTATTGTTAAAGTTTTCATTTTTAACAATTTAATACCTAGAAATGAAAGTTAATTATGATTTTTTTGTACTAGTATATAAAATCTTAAAAGATGTTACGCGTTTTTGAGTAACTAAAATAAAGTCCTACAGTTAAAACCGGTATGATAGAAACAGAAAAAAAATCGTGAAATAAATATGAGTTCAGGTTTTTGTACAAACTCAAGAATTATTCTGATAGTCTTAAAAAACAGAAAAAATTCTGATTTGGAAAATCGCCAAAAATACATTTATTTTTTATCAAATTTTTACCTTTTAAACATCGAAATCTCTGGAAATTTTGAATTTATAAAGTTAGAAATAAAATTTAAAAAAACCTTAGGCAGCTTTGGCTCAACTAAATTATTAAATAATAATAATTTTAAGCAAATGCAACTCACTTTTAAGAAACAGAAAAATTCGGAAAAATAACAACTTCAAACTTTATAAAAATGTTTAGGTACCTACTAGATGATGAAAACAAAAAAAATCGTGAAATAAATATAAGTTCAGATTCTTGTATAAATTCAGGAACTGTTCTAATAGTCTTAAAAAACAGAAAAAATTTTGATTTTGAAACTCGCTAAAAATACATTTATTTTTTATCAAATTTTTACTTTGTCAAGATTGAAATCTCTTGAAATTATGAATTTATAAAATAAGAAATAAAATTCAAAAAACCTTAGGCGACTTTGAATTCAACTGAATTATTAAATAATAATAATTTGAAATAAATCTAACAAACATTTAGGAAACAGAAAAATTCGGAAAAATGAAATATGTAACTTCAAATTTTATAGAAATTTCTACTAATATTTCAAAAATTGTCGAATTGTTCTGCTAGATTTAAAAAAAAATTCAAAACAATTTTTATTTAGGTATTTATTGTTAAAGTTTTCATTTTTAACAATTTAGTAGAAATAGAAGTTATAGTTTAGAAATTTGCTGATATTTTGAATTAAGATTTTTTGTGCGAGTATATAAAATCTGCAAAAATGTTAGGCGTTTTTGAGTAACTAAAATATCCTACATTTAAAACCGTTATCACGACAATAAAAAAAAATCGTGAAATAAATGTAAGTTCAGATTTTTGTATACCTAAATTGAAGAACTGTTATAATAGTTCTTAAAAAACAAAAAAAATTTTGATTTTGAAAATCGCTGAAAATACATTTATTTTTTATCAAATTTTTACTTTGTCAAGATTGAAATCTCTTGAAATTATGAATTTATAAAATAAGAAATAAAATTCAAAAAACCTTAAGCAACTTTGAGTTCAGCTGAATTATTAAATAATAATAATTTAAAACAAATGTAACCCACATTTAGGAAACATAAAAATTCGGAAAAATGAAACATGCAACTTCAAATTTGATAGAAATTTCTACTAATATTTCAAAAATTGTCGAATTGTTCTGCTAGATTTGACAAAAAAATATCCGAAACAATTTTTATTTATTTATTGTTAAAATTTTCATTTTTAACAATTTAGTAGAAATACAAGTTAAAGTTCACAATTTTACGGATATTTTGGATTAAGTTATTTTGTACGAGAATATAAAATCTACTACAATGTTAGGCGTTTTTGACTAATTAAATATCCTAGGTACATTTAAAACCGAATGATGGCAACAGAAAAAAAATCGTGAAAGTTCACATTTTTGTTTAAATTCTGGAATTATTCTAATAGAGTTAAAAAAAAGAAAAATTTCCGAATTTGAGAAACGTTAAAAAGTACCCACATTTATTTTTACGATTTAAACATTGAAATCTCTTGAAATTTTAAATTTAAAAAGTTAGAAATCAAAATTAAACACCTTACCTTAGGCAGCTTCAAACTCAACTGAATTATTCAATTTAAAACAAATGCAATCGACTTTCAAGAAACAGAAAAATTCGGAAAAATAAAATAACTTCAAGTTTTATAGAAATTTTTTTCAAACATTTTCAAATTGTTCTATATTAGAATTGACAAAAAAATCCATAGCAAGTTTTATTTATTTATTGTTAAAGGTTCCATTTTTAACAGTTTAGTAATCAAAGTTATTGTTTTAAAACCTTTAAAAAATTTATAAAAACATTTGGCGTTTCTGAACTGACACTAAAATATCCGAAATTCAAAACCCGTAGGTACGATAAGCAGAAAAAAAATCGAAAATAAAAATAAGTTCAATTTTGATAAATTTTCATACTATTCAGACAGTTCCAAAAACACACAAAAATTTCTGCTTTCGAAAATTGTTCAAAAATACATTCGTTTCTTTGTCAAATTTTTACCTCTTAAACATTGAAATCTGTTGAAATTTTGAACTTATAAAGTTAGGAATAAAATTTAAAAAATCCTTAGGCCCTAGACAGGTTTCAACTCATAGTTAAAGAAGTCGTTCAAACATACACTTCTTTCGTAATAAATTCTTTTTTTTAAATGACTGAAATTTTTGATATTTTGGATTTAAATTTCGAAATCTTACAATGTGAAAAATATTAGTCAATTTTTACTCAACTAAAATATTAAATTAATTTAAAACTACTGCAACCCGCATTTAGATGTTCATATTTTTCAGACTGCTGTGACTGGAATAATTGAAAGGGAAAAATCATAAATTAATAATAAATTCAGATATTGTAGAAATTTTTCTAAACCTTTCATTAACTATTCTGGTTGTCCAAAGTCGTAAAAAATTAAATTCTTGATAAATTTTTTTATTTTTTACATCATTCAAAGCTTCTGAAACTTTGGTCTCAAATTTAACAATAAAATTTGAACTCAGTTGAAATGTTAAATAAATGTAAAACAAATGCAATCTGATGGATTATATACAAAGTTAAATGTTCATACTTTTATGATTTTTTCAGCCTATTGCATCCTAAAAATAATTGAAAGAGAAAAATCGTAAATTAAAAATAAATCTGAAGGTTGTATAAATGTTTGTAAATATCTAAACACATATTCTGGAATTGGAAAATCGTTAAAAGGCATTTTTATTGATAAAATTATAATTTACTATTACTAGGATTTACTAGAGATAAAATTTGAAAAACTGGGGTCCGTTTACCAAAATTAATAATAATAATAATAATAAACTTCGTCAAAAATTTCTGTCGCAGTTATTTCTAAAACTATATCAATAATTCAGTTGAAAATAAATTTCACTTATGATCTGGAATTCGTTTTAAACGTTGGTAACGATTTTTAGAAAGTCCTTTATGTACCTATTGTAATCTTAAAATATCAGTCAATTTATAAAATTTCAGAAGGTTTAATTAAACAAAAGTGAAAAGCACACTGGATGTTGAGAGTGAGATTTATTTATATTTTGCAATGACGTCATCCCTCAGTGAAACCTGCATTCCCGCATTCCACAACCTGTAAAACGTCAATAACACATCAAATTGTATATTCGTAAACCAAATATATACTTACTTTGACGTTACTACAATTTTAGGAACACCCTATATACATAAATTGCATTTATTACGCGCGAATTCCCCGCGTGCTCCCCTCAGCCCCGCCAGCCTCCCATAAATAACCACCTATATGCATATAATCCGCACCAACGCCGCCACTCCACCCCGCCCATCAATCCGCCAACCGGCCATCTCGAAAAAGCACCCATCGCATCCCATAAACCAAAATTAATTAATCTCGGCCCATCCGGCCCTCCTCCCATTCCCGCCAGCCATCTCAAAAAACGCGCCTGTCAATCAATACCGCGCTACCATCAAACACCGCCGTCGCCATGTTGCAAAAAATCAAATACAGGACGTCCCAATAAACAACAACGCAAAAGGACAAAAACACCCACCGATCTAATTGATAAAGTGAGCTGTGCAGGGCTTCCAGTACATAACTGACGCCGGCAGGGCCCAGCAGGCCGCGGAAGGGGGCGGGGCCTCCGCCCGCCGCGGGAGGGGGACGCCGGGGGCGTGGCCGCGCTAATCTGTCCCAAATCACGCCGTCTCACTCGGACTCTCGCGAACGCACGCTATTTTGCGGATATCGCCGCAGAGCCAACTTGATTTTACACATTAAATAGCTGTCGGTTATCGTTTAATCGCGACAGCCGCGACTCGGCCGGCGGGACGCAGGCCGCGCTTTCGGGGCCCTTTCTGCGGCGCGCAGGCGCAGGCGGCGCGGCGGCGGCGGCGCGACGCCCCGCGTCAGTTGGCGGCGGCATTCGGTGCAACAGCGTCGTTCACGGACTCGGACGCTGTTTATAAATATTGGAGGCGGCGACGGGGTGGGGGTGAGTATGGTTTGGCCTTTTTTGAGTGCGAGGGGCGGTAAGGACGGTTTTCGCGTGAGAGGTAATTGTTACGTTTGGGTTATCTGATGCGGTGGAGGGCTTTTAATCAGGGTACGAAGTGTAAAGTACTAGGTGGCTGTGGAGAGACGGGAACTGAAGGCTGAGGGAGAGGAATTTTTCACAACGACGAAAATATACAGGCTGATGCTTAGTGTCACATTGTACACGACTTATTGAAATTAACAATTTCTGTTAAACATCCAAAAGATTCATTTTCGCCAAATTGATGCCCATATTTCATACACCTACCCATGAAATTTATATCTAAGCTAGCCTTGATTCTTTTTTTCGATAATGCGATTGGCTAAGTCAAGAGGCGTGGTTTAGATGACGTTACTTAAATTGGAAAGGGCGGGCCAGGGTTTCTATGTACATAAATAAATTTGTCGGGACGTGTCATTGGTGAATTATGGTTTGGACCCAAAGGCGTATTTTATTTGCCAAAGGGGAAAAGTGGGGTTAGAATCAGCTCATTATTTTATGGTCCACTGTGTACAGTTGGACTTTGGCACTTTGTAGAATACGGAAATGCCGATTTCGCTTTTCGGGTTTGAGTGTGATCACGTAATGACAATAATAATTCTTGTAATAAATAACAAGTTATGAGGATTGCATTAATCGCATTATTTGCGACATTCTTTAATGGCGCATATTTGTCACATGAGCTAAGCAGAGTGGAATATATTTTCAAATGACTTAACTTTTCCAATTAAAAAAAATAAATGGATAGCGCAATGATTTATTGTTAGTAATTTTGCCTTTGAAAATAAATCATGTGTCAGTATCTTGAATCATACGTGAATTATTGCTAGGAAAATAAAATGATACATAGTCTGACAATGTAAAAGCTTTATTAAAAAAAAGTCATAGATAAGTCAAAAATTGATCATACCTAAATGTCTACTTATAAAAATAAAAATTATATACAGGGTAAGTATGCAATATTTTGTGGAAGGTACGCGCTTTGTTACCGTATCAATTAAAACAAATTTCATTATACAGAGTGTTTATAAAAAATTCTAATACTTTACAGTTTTCAAATATTGGAATTACTATATTTTTGTTGTCACTCTTCTAAGATATTTATGTGTTTCTTAAAAAACAGAATAAGACGAAATAATAAAATATAGGAGACATCGAGAAACGTGCGCTTAGTGACTCACCCTGTATATTTAATTTTTTGAAATAAAGTTACAAAAAATCGTAGCTTTTCTTTATAGAGGAAGTGTGTAAAGCTTCCATCATTTATTTGCAGCAAATAGAATAAATGAACTTTAGCAAACCGCGAACGTTTTAGCGCCCTCGGATGATTTCCGGCTCGGTTGCCGCCTCGTCAAAAATATATGTTTTATTCATTTTTAAATCTGACACCGGAATTTATCCATGCATGGCACGACTTTACACACAAAAAAATTAAAAAAATCATAAGTCACGACTTCCACTTTAAATTTATTGTGGAACTAACGAAATCACGCGATTTTAAACAAATACTTAAGTTTGACATTAAAAAAAAAATAACAAACTAAAAAGCGCACTCGGATTATTTCCATCTCGATCGTCACCTCGCCAAACTACTTCCCACTAATTTTTAAAAGCCATTTTCCTGAAAAAAAAAACATCCAAGGGATAATTAAATTTACCAGCATGTGGGTGCTGCGCGCTGACCCAATTGCAGCCCTTGAAGGTTACCATGGCGGGAGGAATTCGGTCTCTCTGTTTGCTTTTTAGGGTGTATTTGCATGCCTTTTCGAGGAGCGCCTGGAATAATTTATCGCGTCTATAGCAAAATTGTCTCCGCGGCGTCTGGACGCAGAAACCCGGTTTAAAATTAAGCGTTCCGTTTGATCCGCGCCCGGAAAAGAAAAAGACGCGTAAATATTTGTCCACGGTAATTACGGGCTTCAAAAGAATATCCGAAAAAATGTCGTACTCGGGAAAACACGGTTTATTATTTATGGGCAGTCGGGCGAGTTGGGAACTTTCGATATTTTTCGGTTAATAACTTATGAGGCGTAATTAAGTCTTTGGGCCGTCCATGCTGGGTCCTGGGCGAACGAATGGGTGTTCGATGGGTTTAGGTCCGAGAGATTTGTTGCCGACGCCTGCTGCCCGTGTTTGGGAGATCTTGATAGCCAATCTGTGGTAAAATCGCAAAAGTTGGCCGAGGTCATTAAAAATTTTAATGTGGTAATCGCGACTGATGGGTCGGTTTTTAAATTTTTGTTAATGGATTTGGTATAAAAGCACTGTTGTTTTTCAGAGCAAACTGAAAGCTATTTTTTTCTTCGGTCATTTACTCTCCGTACTGACAAAACAACATGTTCCAGGCTTGTTTCGGCGATAAATTAAATACTATTAATAATAATAATAATAGTAATAAAATGTCTTATTATATTTTTTCTAGTGATTCAAAAATAGAAAATTTTGACACTCAAATAATAAAATTTATAGTAAACTAAAAAATTTCACTAATAATAATAACAGTCAAAGAAAAAATATTAAAGTATCTATCATGATTCCATCTGATTGCTATCAAATCAAATTTAGATCAAGATATGTCTGCCACGGTCTTCATACTACGGTTAATTTAACACAAAACAATGCACTTTTTAACCTAACAAAGCTTAAGCGACTTAAAAATTATAAACAATTAATTTCGTCATTTATAATTTATTATTATTATAAATCGTGATTTATTTACAAGATTTCAAAGTATTTCTGGACTTAAATTGACACACAAAATTTAGAATTAATGTTTAGCGCTTGATCTTCAATAAATGTTTATTTGTTTTAAATCGTTAAAATAATTTTTTGGACGAGGCGGCGATCGAGGTGGAAATTATCCGAGGGCGCTAAAACGTTCGCGGTTTGCCAAAATTAAAGTATTTTATTTACTGTTGGAATAATCCTAGTCTAGAATCAATATGCAAACCCACGCATTTTTTAGTAGGTAACTGTTAGAAAAGTTGTGATATCTGGAATTAGAAACCCTTTACTATTCAAATGTTGAGGTGGTCATTAATATACTATAGAAATAAAAGTGGACCCGGTACCGAACCCTGAGGTGCCTTGATTAAGAGACTTATAAATTTGGAAAACTATCAGAAAATTTCGTTGCTTGTTTCCGATTGGTTAAGAAATTAAAAATATCAAATTTGGGTCTTTTGTATTTACGTTTTATTGTATTCAATTTCGCTCTTTCAGAAATCTCAATATAAATAAGTCTCTAAACGCTTGATGTATTATCATCAATTTTTAGTTTGATATCTTTCAACCCAGATTTAGATGTTCAAATCGAAATATTTCAGAAGATCTACAGTTTTATTATATTTCATGTTTTTTTTAACCACAATTACGTCGTCATCAGTGTTATTTTTACTATCGTAACTTCAGATCTTAAATACATTTAGATCAAATTGTTAAATATTCTCAGTCCATATTAAACTAAAGCAATCTTAAATCAGATTATGCAAGTCTTAACAAATCGTCATTTCCGAAATTAAAAAGTTCAAATTTAGATATTATGTGTTTACACTTTATTGTAGGTATAATATTTTAGAAGATCTAATTGAGTTTTTTTAGAAGATGATATTCCTGTTATAACTTCAATTTCGCTGTTTCAGAAATCTCAATCTAAATAAGTCTCTAAACGCTTAATGTATTATCATCAGTTTTAAATTTGATATCTACCAACCCAGATTTAGATCTTCAAATCGAAATATTTCAGAAGATCTGCAGTTTTATCACATTTCATGCTTTTTTAACCACAATTACGACATTACCAGTACCAATTATTTTTACTATCGTAACTTCAGATCTTAAAACTATTTAGATCAAATTATTAAATATCCTTAATCCACATTAAACTAAAGCAATCTTAAATCAGATTATGCAAGTCTTAACAAATTGTCATTTCCGATCTTAAAAAGTTCAAATTTAGATCTTTTGTGTTTACCTTTTATTGTATAATATTTTATAAGATCTAATGGAGATTTTTTTTGAAGATGGTATTCATATTATAACTCCAAATCGCTCTTTCAGAAATCTCAATCTAAGTATGTCTCTAAACGGTTGATTATTATCATCAATTTTAAATTTGATACCTATTTATCAACCCAGATTTAGATCTTCAAATCGAAATGTTTCAAAACATCTGCAGTTTTATCACATTTCATGCTTTTTTAACCACAATTACGACATTACCAGTACCTATTATTTTTACTATCGTAACTTCAGATCTTCAAACTATTTAGATCAAATTATTAAATATCCTCAGTCTACATTAAACTAAAGCAATTTTAATTCAGACTATGCAATTCTTATCAAATTGTCATTTCTGAAATTAAAAAGTTCAAATTTAGATCTTTTGTGTTTACCCTTTATTGTATAATATTTTATAAGATCTAATGGAGATTTTTTTGAAGATGGTATTCATATTATAACTCCAAATCGCTCTTTCAGAAATCTCAATCTAAGTAAGTCTCTAAACGGTTGATTATTATCATCAATTTTAAATTTGATACCTATTTATCAACCCAGATTTAGATCTTCAAATCGAAATGTTTCAAAAGATCTGCAGTTTTATCACATTTCATGCTTTTTTAACCACAATTACGACATTACCAGTACCTACTATTTTTACTATCGTAACTTCAGATCTTCAAACTATTTAGATCAAATTATTAAATATCCTCAGTCTACATTAAACTAAAGCAATTTTAATTCAGACTATGCAATTCTTATCAAATCGTCATTTCTGAAATTAAAAAGTTCAAATTTAGATCTTTTGTGTTTAACCTTTTTTGTATAATATTTTATAAGATCTAATGGAGATTTTTTTTGAAGATGGTATTCATATTATAACTCCAAATCGCTCTTTCAGAAATCTCAATTTAAGTAAGTCTCTAAACGGTTGATTATTATCATCAATTTTAAATTTGATACCTATCTATCAACCCAGATTTAGATCTTCAAATCGAAATATTTCAGAAGATCTGCAGTTTTATCACATTTCACGCTTTTTTAACCACAACTACGACATCACCAGTATTATTTTTACTATAGTAATGTTAGATCTTAAAACTATTTAGATCAAATTATTAAATATCCTCAGCCCACATTAAACTAAAGCAATCTTATATCTGATTATGCAAGTCTTATCAAATCGTCATTTCCGAAATTAAAAAGATCAAATTTGGATCTTTTGTGTTTACTCTTTATTGTATAATATTTTAGAAGATCTAATTTCGTTCCTCATTTTCGAAGAAACGCAAAGATGATATTCATATTATAACTCCAATTTCACTATTTTAGAAATCTCAATCTAAGTAAGTCTCTAAACGGTTAATGTATTATCACCAGTTTTAAATTTGATATCTATCAACCCAAATTTAGATCTTCAGATCGAAATATTTCGGAAGATCTGCAGTTTTATCACATTTCATGCTTTTTTAACCATAATTACGCCATCACCAGTATTATTTTTACTGTCGCAACTTCAGATCTTAAATCTATTTAGATCAAATTATTAAATATCCTCAGTCCACATTAAACTAAAGCAATCTTAAATCAGATTATGCAAGTCTTAACAAATCGTCATTTCCAAAATTAAAAAATTCAAATTTATATCTTTTGTGTTTACTCTTTATTGCGTAATATTTTAGAAGATCTAATTTTCGTTCCGCAATTTCGAAGAAACGCAGAGATGATATTCATATTACTTACAACTCCAAATCGCTCTTTCAGTCTAAGTAATTTTTTAAACTGTTAATGTATTATCATCAATTTTAAATTTAATATCTATCAAAAAAAAAATTTAGATCTTCAAATCGAAATATGTCAGAAGATCTGCAGTTTTATCACATTTCATACATTTTTAAACCGCGATTACGACATCATCAGTCTCTAAACGGTTGATGTGTTATCATCAATTTTAAATTTGATATCTATCAACCCAGATTTACATCTTCAGATATTTTGATCATGTTTATGAAAAAATTATGAGTCGTAATATTTAGAGCTACATGATTTATTTACAAGATTCCAAAGTAACTTTAGAACAATCAAATTTAAATTAATATGCAAAATTTAGAATTAAAATTTAAGGTTGGATCTCCAGTCAACGTCGGAAAGCAAATTATAAAAATGCAATTTACTTACATTTGTTAGTGTTTAGTTGTTTGAAATTGTTTAATTTCGTCCCTGATTAAAAATAAATTTGACGAGGCGTCGACCGAGTTCGCAATCATCCGAGGGCGTTAAAACGTTTTTATTTGATTTGTTGTTAATAACTTGGGGAATTATGATTTTTGGTTAAAAAAACGAGTATTCAATGTTGACACTAGATTTAAATTGGGGGATTTGTAGCGCGCGGTGTCCCGTTTCCGGGGGTTCCAGTCTGAGCAATTAAAATCGCCGCCCCTCCGTCCCTTTTTCCAGATTCCTCGCCGGAGCCAGCGCCGAAAAGGAGCATCAAACACATCAATGTCGCCCGGGCAGAAAAAGGAGCCCGTGTGACAAAAACCTCTCGCAACGCCTCCATAGGCATAACCTCCTAACTCCTGCCCACCGTAAGTGTGAAAAGTGGGGGAGACATGTCGCCCCCGGATTGGCCGAGCCGCCGGAGCTGACACCGTCCCGGCCAATCGCGTCGCTCCGCCGTCATTAACACAGTCCGTGTCGCAGCGGCGGCTTTCCTGCTAGTCGTCGCTCGCACTCTCCCCGGGAAGGAGGTGTCAGACTTGGCGCTGAAAAACCACCCCGGCCAGTGGCGTCCGTGCGTGCAGTGCTGTGATGCCGGTGCGAGTGAGCCCCGTTTAGTACTCAGTCCGCCGTCCCGGAGCAGTGACCAATGCGTTTCGACACGCTGGAGCCTCCCCCCGACGCCAAGGTGAAGAACATGGCCTACCACCCCTTCCTGCAGCTGCCGCGGCAGACGGACTTCAGCGTGAGCTCGCTGCTCACGGCCGCCGGCGGCTCGGCGGCGTCGCCGCCCGCGCCCGGATTCTTCCCGCCGGCGGCGCTCGCCGCCTTCGGCTCGCAGAACGCGCACTGCTACCCCGGCGCGCTGCTGCCCAAGATCAACCACCCGCACCCGCACCACGCCGCCCTCGCCGGACACCCCTACACGACGGCGGAGGACGTGGTGCTGGCGGCCGTCGCGGCGCACAACCACCACCCGGCGATGGTGCGCCCGCTGAGGGCCATCCAGCCGGAGGAGGACGGCGTCGTCGACGACCCCAAGGTCACGCTGGAGGGGAAGGAGCTGTGGGAGAAGTTCCACAAGTTAGGGACTGAAATGGTCATCACGAAGAGCGGGAGGTGAGTGATAAGTGACAGTTTAGTGTGTACGACGACGGCCAAGACAAGGTAAAAACAACACTTTATTTCACGCAAAATCTAAATCGAATCACCGGATACATACGAAATTGTTTCTAAGACTTTCGCGATACTCAAGCAGACTCGAGAAATTGCGTCAAATAAAGCGACACTCAGTTTTCGCCTAGTCACTACGCGTAACCAAGACGAAAAAAGCGGTGAACTTGTATGTTCAACAAATTACAAATATCACAGTGATACCACTGAAAGTACAAGTAGTACAAAAAGAGAGTGATAAACACGCACGAGTGATTCTTCTGGTTGTTAAATTTATAAAAACCTACTCACTAATATGTATAATATATGTTACACTGGAAAAAAGAGCGACAACACTTTTACAACACTATATACATATATATTAAATAATCAACCACTAGGCCACTAAAATCTATTACACATTTTTATTAAATTTAAAAAATACAGTATGTACGAATTTCGTGCGCGTTCCGCTTTCCGACGCTCGGAACCTCTAGGCCTGAACACGGTCAAAGAAAAAACATTCCAACTCCGTAATTTTCTCGCATTACCCAAAGTGTGAAAATTCGTGTTTCGTTCAATTATTCCAAACCTTCGTTGTAACACAGTTTTCAATTTTTTTGTTTGCACGCCACGCCGAAACCCACTTTTTTCAAATTTGGCGTATTGTACATAATCTACACAAATGGAAATAAATTACCCCGTCGGGGTGTAACCCGAACAAAGCCGATTTATTTAGCGCTGAAACAGTTCTCCTATTCTTGATGAAATCGTAGCACTTTAGCACCATATACAGAATTAATCTAAATGTGGCATGACTAACAACCACTTTCCAGTTTCCTTCTAGAACATAATTAACTAACACATCACAACATTGTTGGTCTTTGTAACATCGAAAAAAACGCTTTTTAGTTTTCTGGTTGACGGAGGCATTTTCCGGTCGGGTGGGTCCTTTGATTGATTATGCGTTATTGGGTGGTTATTGATGAGTTTTGCGCGAATTGGAAAGTGTTCGGGGTGTTAATTTTGTGAGGAAAAATGGGAATTTCGGCTTGAGTGGGTGATTTAAGCGTGGATTTGGGCTTTGTTGCCAAAACGTAATTAAGTCGTGTATTGGAGATGTGAAATATGGGGCTGTTGCTCCCGAATCATACTATAAATATTTTTGGAAAGTTTTGAGGTTCGAGTGTTTCGGGTTAAATTTTTTCGGAAGTGTTTGAATAGCCTAACGATGAAAAATATTTTCTTGAGGATTTTTTGACAACATTAATATAAAATTAAAATGTTTCTACTGTTTTTTAGCTCTCATTATTTGGGTAATTTTTATTTGATATTAATACAGAGGCGAACTGCAAAAACGATTGTGGAAATTTAAGCCTGAAGACTAGTTTTAGTACCAAAATGTTTTTACATTTAAAGTTCTCTTTATAAATTAAATATAAATTAAGAGAGGCATGAAAATAATTTAAACTTACTTTTAATAAGAAAAGGATGTTATAGTTTTAGCAAAAAATTGCTTCTTCACAGTGAATTAAAGCTAAATGTAATGCTAGAAGGATTATTTGAGTTTTAACAAAAGAGCTCGGTCGAATAATTAAAAAAAATTGATAACACAACTATACACTAGAAATATGGCAGTGAAAATTTAAGAGAAAAAATTATTTTCACCCCTAAGGTGTTCGGCACGAATTAAATGAAGCTTAAAACTAATCTGAAAGTAATTTAACCTCATTTTTAAAAAGAAAAACAGTGAATCAGAATAAAAAGTTTAAGTTGAGTTGAGTTTTTTGCAGTTCATACTAAGAATATAACCAATAAAATCCAAATAAACAATAAAGATTATAAATAATTTTTGAAATATTTAACGCACAGACATATAGATTTGGAACAGGGTATGACATGCTAAAACGACAAATAAAAAATTGATAAACGATATTTTGTTCTGGCTTTAGCAAAAAATTGCCTATGTACAGTGAATTAAAATTATGTGTAATACTAGAAGAATTATTTGAGTTTTAACACAGGAGCGGAGTCGAAAAATTTAAAGAAAATCTTGACAAAAACACGGTTACATTGGAAATATGGCAGTGAAAATTTAAGACACATAAGCTTGTAGAAAAAACTATTTTTACGTTTAAGGTCTTCGGTACGAATTAAATAAAGCTTAAAATTAATCTAAAATTAATTTAACCTCATTTTTAATAAGAAAAACAATGAATAAGCGTTTGTAAATTCATGCATTTCTCATGACAGTTGAACACGATTTTTCGCCAACCTTAACAACTGAACTATGTATAACCAATAAAATCCAAATAAAAAGTGAAGATTATAAATAATTTTTGAAATATTTAACGGCAAATTGTGACCTGAAGACATAGATTTGAAACATGCGAAAACGGCAAACAAAAATGAATCGACTATACCTGATCTTGGGATAAATTACAAAAAATTAAATTTTAAAAATTGATAAATTATGATCTGACTTTTTTTCTTCTTAATGTACATATTCTTTACAAAAAAGACTGAAAACATGTTTAAAATGGTAAATTTTATCTCCCACAGGTTTCAGTTTCTTTTCGCAAATCAAAAACTACGTACCTACATACAAAAAAAGAAGGCAAAATTTAAATTAATTAATTTAATTTAATCTAACGGCAAATTTTTACCTAAAGATATATAAGTTTGGAACAGGGTGTGACATGCGAAAACGACAAATAAAAATTTGATAAACGATATTTTGTTCTGGCTTTAGCAAAAAATTGCCTATGTACAGTGAATTAAAATTATGTGTAATGTGTAGAAGAATTATTTGATTTTTAACACAGGAACGGAGTTGACAAATTTAGAGAAAATTTTGACAAAAACACGGCTACATTAGAAATATGGCAGTGAAAATTTAAGACACATAAGCTTGTAGAAACAGTTATTTTTGCGTTTAAGGTCTTCGGTACGAATTAAATAAAGCTTAAAATTAATCTAAATGTATAATTTAACCTCATTTTTAATAAGAAAAACAATGAATAAGTGTTTGTAAATTCATGCATTTCTCATGACAGTTGAACACGATTTTTCGCCAACATTAACAACTGACTTATGTATAACCAATAAAATCCAAATAAAAAATGAAGATTATAAATAATTTTTGAAATATTAAAGGGCAAATTGTAACCTCAAGATATAGATTCGAAACATGCGAAAATGGCAAACAAAAATGAATCGACTATACTTATCTTGGATAAATTACAAAAAATTAAATTTTAAAAATTGATTAATTATCATCTGACTTTTTTTTCTTCTTAATATACATATTCTTCACAAAAAAAAAACTGAAAACATGTTTAAAATGGTAAATTTTATCTACCACACTTCTCTACAAATTTACCATTTTAAACAAAGTTTCAGTTTCTTGTGGCGAATAGAAAACTACGCACATGTAACAAAAAAATGACAAAATCGAAACCCCGCCCACCCACCCTTCTTTCAATTGTGACGAATTTTCTTATTCGTCGTGAGTCGAGAGGCGGAACTTAATTGCAAAATGCTTAATTCTCTACCATGTAAAACAAGTTTATAAGTATGATGGTGCTGAAAGAAAAGTGTATGTGTTTAGAAAAACAAGTAAAAAGTAAGCCCCACCCACCCACCCCTATCTCAATTGTGACGCATTAGGTAATCATTCGTTGTCCGACCAAGGGGCAGTTAGTAGCTGAATATATCCAGATTTTAATAAAAAAAATTAAATTAATTTTAACGACAAATTTTGACCTAAAGATACATAGATTTGGAACAGGGTATGACATGCGAAAACGACAAATAAAAACTTGATAAACGATATTTTGTTCTAGCTTTACCAAAAAATTGCCTGTGCACAGTGAATTAAAATTATGTGTAATACTAGAAGAATTATTTGAGTTTTAACACAGGAGTGGAGTCGAAAAATTAAAAAAAAATCTTGACAAAAACACGGTTACATTGGAAATATGGCAGTGACAATTTAAGACACATAAGTTTGTAGAAAAAACTATTTTTACCTTTAAGGTTTTCGGTACGAATTAAATAAAGCTTATAATTATTCTAAAATTAATTAAACCTCATTTTTAATAAGAAAAACAATGAATAAGTGTTTGTAAATTCATGCATTTCTCATGACAGTTGAACACGATTTTTCGCCAACCTTAACAACTGAACTATGTATAACCAATAAAATCCAAATAAAAAATGAAGATTATAAATAATTTTTGAAATATTAAAGGGCAAATTGTAACCTCAAGATATAGATTCGAAAGATGCGAAAACGGCAAACAAAAATTAATCGACTATAACCTGATCTTGGATAAATTACAAAAAATTAAATTTTAAAAATTAATTAATTATGACCCGACTTTTTTTCTTCCTAATATACATATTCTTCACAAAAAAAAGATTGAAAACATGTTTAAAATGGTAAATTTTATCTACCACTCTTCTCTACAAATTTACCATTTTAAACAAGGTTTCAGTTTCTTGTCGCGAATAGAAACCTACGCACATGTAAGAAAAAAGTGACAAAATCGAAACACCGCCCACCCACTCTTATTTCAATTGTGACGAATTTTATTATTTGTCGTGAGTTGAGAGGCGGAGCTTAATTGCAAAATTCTTATTTCTCTACCATGTAAAATAAGTTTATAAGTATGATGTCGCTGAAAGAAAAGTGTATGTGTTAAGAAAAACAAGTTAAAAGTAAGACCCACCCACCCCAATCTTAATTGTGACGCATTAGGTAAACATTCGTTGTCCGATCAAGGGGCAGTTAGTACCTGAACATATCCAGATTTTAATAAAAAAAATTAAATTAATTTTAACGGCAAATTTTTACCTAAAGATATATAGATTTGGAACAGGGTATGACATGCGAAAACGACAAATAAAAACTTGATAAACGATATTTTGTTCTAGCTTTACCAAAAAATTGCCTGTGCACAGTG